GGGGAGGGAGGGGACACAGGAGGTTGGCTGGCTGGCCTGCCACCCCTCAGGGTATTGGGGGCCAATTGGGGACTGGCCAGAGGGAGGGCCCATGGAAGATTGGCTGGCTGGCCCACTCCTGATCCAGCTGGGGGTGGCTGGGGGGAGGGGCTGCCCCCTGATCGGGCAGGTTTGCCGGCAGCAGTGCGGGTCATAGTGACCAGTTGTTCTGGTCATTCTGATCGTTCAGGAGTTCTGGTTGCTTGGCTTTTATATATATAAATACTTCTGTGGACCCTGAGAAAGAAGATACCTACTAAAAAGGGCTCCTGATGGCTAAAATTAAAGACAACAACAATAACTCAGAGCCTAGCAGCCACTGCTACACAGGGGCCTCCTATGGAAACTGCAATTCAGGGAGAAGCCTATACTGAATTGCCTGCCTGCACTGTTCCTGGCATCTGAGTCAGCCCTTATATATACATATTATTTTTTAATCCTCACCCAAGGATATGTTTTTATTGGGGTTTTTTTGGGGGGGGTTTTTTTTTAGAGAGAGAGGTAAGGAGAAAGGAACATTGATGTGAGAGAAACATTTATCTGTTGCCTCCCAAAACCTGACCAGGGATTGAACCCAAAACCTAAGCATGTGCCCTGACCGGGAATCAAACCAGCAACCTTTTTCTGGTGTATGTGACCATGTTCTAACCAACTGAGCCATCTGGCCAGGGCATGAGCCAGCCATTATAAAGGAGTTCTTGGAATCCTATTTCAACCAATAGGACTGAGGCTTTCCCCATCCAGTTGGAGCTGCACAGGTATATCCCATCAACATTTCCACCAACCAATCAGGGCAGCTCCATTCTGACCAATTAGGATGGTGCCTTTGGACCAATCAAACTGTGAGGATTTGGAATCATCATTTGCATGAGGACAGACCAATCAGGGATCAGAGGCGGGGACTTCTGTCTATGTAAGTCAGCTCCCTTCTGACTCTGAAAATGCACCTAAGACTGCGGATCCTAACAGGAGCTGCAACACCAAAGATATCTCACCAGAGCAGAGCAGAGCAGCACAGCTGGAGGGGCCTGGCCCCAGGGCTGCCTCACAGCCATGCTGTGTCACAGTTGAGCTGTTCCACAGCTGTGATATATCACAATTGAGCTGTTTTGCACTGAATGAAGTTTCCTCTTCACCACACCCCAAATTGGGGATTCCTGTTGGTATTGAATTGACGTCCACAACCATCTCTTGATCCCTACCTCACAGATGAGAAAAGCAAAGCCCAGAACTTCTTCGCATGAGCTTTGGGCTGCTGGTAGGTAATTCTCGAAGTCCAGAGGGTAATGCCATCTGGGCCTCTTCTCAGAGAGGTAGTCCACATCATGTCCATTCCTGTCAGCCCTCAACACAGAGGAGTAGTCCACATCATGTCCATTCCTGTCAGCCCTCAACACTGACCTTTTGGTTGCAGGCTCAGGCCAGTCTAATTGGTAGGCCAAGGGGCCACGGCAGCTTCCAGACTGAATTCTTTCACACACCTGGGTAAGCAGAGCAGACAACTGCCACCAGGTGGCGCCACATTGCAATTGGGACTTGAATGGGTTGAATTTGCATCTCCTACCCCCATAGCTGAGCAAGCTAACCCCAGGAATTTTAACTCTATAATAACACCATCCCACCACAATTGACTATTTGGCACTCCACGAATCAATCTATAGTGGCATTTTACCGTTTTTGACTAGCCAATTCCAAAAACTTTACAGGGCTTTTTTTTTTTTTTTTTTTTTTTTTTTTAAAGAACTATTGCATTCTGGTA